AAAAAAAAAAAAGAATGCATAAAAGTTGTAAACAACAGACCAGTAACAAAGATTCTGCTAAGTTTTCACCTAAGAAAACAAGGAAACAAAAAAAAATAACATCTGAAAAACAAAGAAGCGATAAAAATACCTGCATATTCCTGGTCTGATACATGAGCCATACCCACAACCACCTGGACAAATTGGGTCATAACACAAAACTCCGGTCCATCCATCTTGACATATTAGTTTTCCTTCCCGAGAACACTGATGATGAGCACTGCAGATAAATATATACCTCATTTTTTATTTTTTCGCCAAAATTTATCAGCAAAAAAAATTATTAAACCTTAAAACATTTGCCCCACAAAAGTATCTCCAGAAAAAGTATTTTCCCAATTTACTAAACCTTTCTAAGCTATGCTGTTATAGCTGCTTATAAATTCAAACAATTATTTGATGGATTACTTTGAGATGTTCGGATTACAATAGGTGGAACATTCGGCACCATAAAAATTTTGATCGCATTCTACTTCCACCTTATAGGTAAGCGATTTTCCGGGCTCAATCTGTAAACCAAAAGAAATTTTAAACAAAAATTTGATTGAAAAAAAAAATACTACTTTCTGGACAAATTACCAGCAACAAAAGCTCAATTCTTTAAGCATCCCGTATAGACGCACACATATGCTTTATCAAGAATACCTCTTGAAATTTTAGTGGTTTTGATTCGGTTGGCGAAATGTTGATGAAACGTTCAGAACGTAAAATTATTGCTTTGGTTTTCATTTGTCGTATTTCCACCGCTAATGAAACATTCTGTAAACGATGACTGATAAGTGCACACAAAATACATCTAAAAAAGATGGTCTAAAAAAAGCATCTTAAAAGTAAACATTTGAATGTCGTTATTGTTGGTTGGCAATTAGACGACAATACAGTAGTGTCAGTGCAAGCAAATGTTACTGTTTATGGCACTTAAATAAGACTTTGTTTGATTTCACTTTTTTAAATAAATAGAAAAAAAAAGAAGATCCGTTTCTCATTTCCTTCTTTCTTGTATTTGACCAACAACAATTTCCAAAATTTGTTTAACATTTCAATCAATTACTTCATTTAAAAAGTTTAAGATAATTTTTTTCTTTGATTTGCTCAAAACTGGGCAGTTTCTAGAGCTAAATTATTTGTTACTGTAGTGGAATTTGTGGTTCTGTCAACAACCGCGAACTAAGGCAAAAAAAAATTTCTCAATTTTATCTAATATAGTCGTATGAATATGTTTAAGACGGGACTTTTTCATCGATGACACGGTCTTATGGTAACACAAATCGCCTGATACATCAGACATCGATAGAGTAGAAGAAATTCAACGTTGCTCTGCGTGTCGGTAACCTTTTGGTGATGGATAATCTTTTGGCGTTTGGAGCCATTCGGATAGACACAGATGAATGAAAAGCCACAAAAGCATTGGCTTTTAGCAACATTTTCAAACAGCTTATTATGGTTCTTAGTTTTTCTTTTTTTTCCTCATCTTTTCTGTTGCCTGCATTAAATGAACAAAAGAAAAACTACAGGTATTTGTTCATTCCTAACCAAAGATTCAAAATCTGTTCAGGTCAATTAGACATTAAATTAAGATGGAAGCCCAAATCCAAATACAATTTTTGTTTGATTGCAATTATTGGTCTATTATTTTACAGCCTACAATATTCTTTCAATCCGAAAAGCTTTAACAAATAGCTACTCTTCCAATTTTTAAATCCACTTACTCTATCCTTTCATATTCGGTGATAAAAAAAATTTTATTAAGGAAAAACTGACATCGAACAAAAATTGCAGTTGTGAGTTTGTTATATTAACGAAGAAAAACAGCAAAAAAAAAAGATTTTGTAGCATAGGAAATGCAAATCACTCAGCATATTCTGGCAGTTTTTTTATCAGTAAAGTCTCAAAAAAAAAGAGAGGCATAAAGACGTAATTCAATTGAAAGCTCTCAACACAGAAGCCAGTAGACTAACATATCTGAGGCATTATTAACTCAAAAGCATCGTCATTTTCACT